CCTTTAGCGGCCGAAGCTGCGGAGAGATCCAGCACCCAAAGCAGATCCTAGGTGAACCGGTACCGGGTGAACCTGCGACTTTCTTTGTAATGACCAAAGAAATTTTTTATGTAAGCAATGAGGAAACTTCAATTCTAAAAAAACATATATAAACAAACTCTTTCTGCTCAAAACATAATTTGCAATTTTAAGGATAGTTTTGTATGCTATAAAAGAAAACTGATGTTAACAATTTGAAAAAAGTGTACTTTCTTTAGGTCTTCAATTTAAATTTGTTTAAGAGCCTAGCAAACCCTGCAAAAAGTTGCCTTGTTTTCAACCCAACGCATTTTTGGCCGATGCGGAATTTCTCATTCAGCTAGTGCTGGTGATCTCAGGTTTACACTTTGAGAAATCAGTCCGATGTTTATGCTTTACATTAAAATAATTAATCCGTACACCCGACCCTATGAAACAAAGTCGCACCTGCCATTTTGGGGCTTTCAAATGATGATCAAAACAGAAGATATCAGAGATATCTTTATTTTCACTTACATTGAAAGGGAAGGGAGATAATTTAATCCTGTAATGAGAGAAAGTATTACACTCTCTCTCTTCATAGGCAGTGTAATTATTCAGCTGCTCTCTGGAACTGAAATAATGACAAATTAAAATGCCTTTCAATTCCATGTACCTTTTATAACTATTCATCTTCTGGAGTTATTATCACTCTAAAGGCTTCTTTATATTTTAGGCATCAGACACTATATGTTACAGAAAGCATACGGAAATTGTTACTGCTACCAATAATGGTTGCAGTCATCAAGGTAAGAACAAAATCATCTGGCTTTGTTGTAAAGTATGTGGTACAATCAAGTATTTAATATAATTTTCTGAAATTTATTGGAAATCTTATATCAAAGAGTGCATTCATTCTGGGTGAGGATGCACAGGAGGGAGCTCGACCTCCGCACGCCGGGGACGGGGGCTGGAAAAACCCAGGGGAAAACCAGAAATAACAACTTGCTTAAAACCCGACACAAATGGAAGTCAGGCCAGGAACCGCCAAAGCCTTCCTCTAGTCCTGTCTCCTGCTTTTTTGGCACGTCACAAGCTTCCAAACCCGCAGAGCGGGGCCAGGCGCGGGCAGAGCATCCTCCCCAGCGAACGCCAGGATCTGCCTTGGCCGCTCCTGCTGCCTGCCACGTCAGGGACCGCAACCAGGAACACCCTTCAGCCACAACGGGCTGGAAATATTTGTTCACGCTGTCTTAAATAGATTGAAAAAAACCCCACGGAAATGCAGTCACGGTGAAGGGTGACATTTCTCCGGGCACGGTATTTACAATATTTTGATTAGCTGCGATTTCTCGATAGCCAAGCAGCTCGTGTTAATAAATACCCAATTCCAATTAGCCATCTGTGTTCTCAATCAGAAAAAAAGAAACAAAAAAACCCTCACGGGCACCACGCCTGCTGTCAACTTGCTCCTCAGCAGGCCGTTAATCATCTGGGCTTGCACAGGGTGCAACCCAAGGACTAGGGGAAGGGCTGTGCAGGAAGATCTTCGGAGCACACCTTCCAAACCAGGAATGATCCTTCTCAACCCCCCAGGCACTCAGCTGGACTGCATGCCGCGCTCCTTCAGTACGTTGAGATTCCTACGGAATCCGTTTTACCCCAACGATAGCTGCAGGATTGGGTCCCCTCTCTGCAAAAATCCTAAAATTAATCGGAAAGCGCGAGTTCGAAAGGCAAACCTAGACGTGGATTAGCATCTATGAATGTGTAAATGAGTGGTTATAAAACCGCAGAATACATTTGTGATCCCTAGATGTGGCAGAGAGGTCTGGCTGATCAAAGAGACAAAATAAAGGCGAGAAGATAAAATTCGTCTTTATGAAAGTGGGAATCATTATCCCCATATACTCAGACTCTTAATTAGTAGGGCTGGATCTCAGCCGCCGATCGCTGACAGCCAGAGCAGCGGAGGATAGCTCACAGCTCTCGCTACCCGGCACATTATTACAGCGTTTGATATATTTGCAACCGGCCCAGAGATGGCATTTACATCAAATGTGGGTCTGGGCTCTGTACTCTGCCAACAGCATCTTTGGTCCTTTCATCCGCCAGTCCCAGAGGAGCTACTTCAGACCTGGAGCCGGCGCATCCTCCCCAGACGCAGCTAGTTTCTCCTGGACGCAGCGATGAACGCCGCGCCCCGTCCCCAATCCCACCGCCCGCACGTGCTAATTAAAGGAGGGAAGCGCTTTCTGCAAAGCCCTAAGTTAATATTCCGCACGAACATTTCTTTGACCCAGAATCTGAACCTCCTCTGGCTTCTTTCACAGCTACCCGGGACTTTAATTCTCTGTTGTTTGTTGCAAGAATCACTTTTAGCAGTGATTCTTCCTCTTTCCAGTTTACGTAAACCAGAAAAGAGGGAAGTTTTGTTTCTTTCAGCAGCAAGGAGCAGTAAGGAGCAAGGCAGGCATCTGATTCCATCCCAATATTTCAGAGAGAACATGCCCTCCTTCCTGTAGCTCCTCACGAGCCGGGATTTCGGCTGCTGCCGGGCCCCACAGAAAAACGACCG